CCGATTTAAATGTGCAGCGATCTCAGCTGTCAAAACCATAGAAATGTTTCTATCTAGATAAAAAAATAATTTGTCCAAAATAGATTAGACACGAGCCAACTCATAAATGTTGTACGCGTGTTCGTGGCTTGGATGAATATTTTTCGAGATTACGGCGGCAGATGTCAGTTTTGTGCTTTAATAAGAAATTTCTTTGTAATTCGGTTTGTCGGTTTGTCGGTGTTATTAGTTCTACTTGAAATTCTCTTTGATCGATTGATTGATTGATTAAAATTTAATAGATTTTCAGACGAAGGTGATTATTAGGGTAAGTGTCAAGATTTTGGGCATATATCCATTAAGTTGAAGGGTTAATCCACTTTGAAATCTTTAGATTTTTTTTTTGAATTCCATGGAATGCTTTTCATAATCTCAATAATATTCACTTCAGAACTACTTTGGAATTTACCCTAAGTTCTCCTTACATTTTTTTGAAAAACTTTTCCAAATTACCTGGAACTTCTAGCAAAATTCAGTTGGAGGTCGCCCAAGACTTTTTTTAGAATTATCCCTAGAATTCATTCACAATTTTTTACGAAACTCATTTGTTACTCAAATCAAAAATCTTCAAACTTTTCTTCAATGAATCGGAATTCAATTTTTTTTTCAAATTCCAAGAATCTATGATCTTCAAAATTAAGTTATATTTAAATTTTGCGGGTCTTCCTTTTTTACCATATTTAGTTGTTTCAATGAAACCAGGAAAGATATGTTGGTCTCCCGGGAAAAACCGGGAACAAACCGTAAGTTTAATTTCATGCACCCAGTGGCCACTCTGAATTAGATGTAATATAATAGACGCACATACTTATTTTGAGCTTAAATGTTGCAACATCTGATACTGTCTAGCGTCTATGGAAATGGGTTCGAATCTACCCTCTGGATCTCAGTTCAATTTAGGAATGTGCTGATAAAAATCATTTCTTCTACACTCAAATCGAGGCAACCTTAAAAGATAAACCAACTGCCTGCATGAATTTGAATTTTGACATGACAACATTCTCTTGGTCAAGGCAACCGCTGAGTTTCGAAGTCAACATTTATTTTGGCTCATTCGTGAATGTTTGTTCATTATCGTCTGTGTTGTTGTCACACTCGGATCGATGGAAGATTATTCAAGCTGAACATTGTATTAGGTCCTAAGTAACATTGACAGATTCTCTTCGTCAACTTTCTCTTTGGATCCCCACGGTCATGTGAAGACATTTGCAGGTATTTTTAGCACACAGACCGATAAAAGAATTTTTTTATCTAGCATCTAATACGACAAACACATCAAGAAACGGTTCTGTGCTCAAGTTATTAACGAAAGAGAAAGTCGACGAAGAGAATCGATCAATGCACAGTGGTCTAGAATGCAGATTAAGGTGGAATGATATGTTATGAACCTGAAATTGAAACTTTAGTCTTTAAGTCTTTTCTACAAAGTTTTTCCTTATAGTTAGGCCCTCATTTTTATGAAAATGAATTCTAGGGTGGTTCTTATTGTCATTAAAATAAAAAATCTAACTTTTTTGTTTGAATAAATTCAGGTATACATTTTTCGGCAAAGTTATAGCTGAGCTAATTTCAAGCAACTTTGTCCCTGGCAACTTTTTTGTATCTCTTAAATTGGCCGATTTAGAGCTATTTTCTTGAATTGAGTTAGGGTGGCTCTAAAAAAAACAGTTGTTTTGCTCTAGTTTTCTTTTTTCCAATTTCTCAGCAAAGGTGCAATGAAATAACTTTTAGATCTTTAGAAGGCGCAAATTTTTGCTGCACAAAGCTTGTCAATATCTTTCGCCGATCAAGAGTTATTGACGTTTTTACACTAAAAATAAGCACTTTTCAAATGTTGATATCTCTGACTGGGGCAAACAAAAAAAATTTTTTTTATGGCATTTGAAAGAGCGTATGTTATTCTGTCTGCGTATGTCTTAAAGAGTTTTAAAAGTCTCTGCAAGATGACTTTCAGGAGAGATTTCAAATAAAAAAGTTAGTGCTAAAAAACTATTTTTCCAGGAACACACTAAGTCAACTCCGAAAAATTACTCTAAAATGAGAACGTTTAGAGACAGGAAAAAAAAATATCTAAAAGTTATTTCAAGTCACCTTTGTTGAGAAATTTGAAATAAGAAAACTAGAGCGAAACAACTGTTTTTTTAGCGCCACCCTAACTCAATTCACGAAAATAGCTCTAAATCGGCCAATTTAAGAAATACAAAAAAAAAAAAATATAGCAACAAAGTTGCTTACAATTAGCTCAGCTATAACTTTGCCCAAGAATGTATACCTTAATTTATTCAAACAAAAAGGTTAGATTTTTTATATTAATGATAATAAGAACCACACCAGAATTCATTGTCACAAAAATGAGGACATTGCTACAAGGAACAACTTTGTAGAAGAGACTTTTAGTCTAAAATTTCAATTTCAGGCTCAAAACATATCATTCCACCTAAATCTGCATTCTGGACCACTGTGCAATGTTACTTAGGACCTAATGCAATGTTCAGCTTGTATTATCCTTTACCGAAGTGATGATAATATAAAGGTTTTGTCAAAACGAATTTAACTTTTTTTGCTTTTGAGGATCGCTTGCAAACGCGTCTTCGTCGATAGGTAATTGCACTCATTTGTTCATTTCCCTCGTTTGTGACAGCGAAGATCTTCAAAGCAAATTCAATTCATCTACACTGGGTCGAAGTGCATTGCGTGTCGTGGTAAATGATGAAAACAGTCACTGGCCAACTCCCACACGGCCAATGAAGCGACCCAAATTCGAGTTTAGTTTACTCACAATCGCCAAAAGTGCAGGAACTCAGCGATGAAAACAAGTCTGCCGGAAATTGTTTCTGTCTAGCAGTAGTACCGATAGACTGAGTGAATCCAATCTTTATTTTTTTCATATTCGGGATTATTTTCCTGGACAAAGTTGGAATAAAAACTGGAAATACAAGAAGCAAGTTTACTCTTCCCTGAGTTACTGCATTTTATGTCTACTACTTTGTGTAAATTTAGGTCGTTCTCATTGGCCGTGCAGTGGGAGCTGAATTTGTATTAGGCCCTTATTCGTTGTAAAAGGGTATATTTAAGTAATTTTTGCTCCACAAGTTCGCATCACTATTTAAAATTTGAAAGAACAACCATCCTCAAAATACACTTGGTAAGTAAGTTGTTTGAAACTAGCGAAGTCAGTCATTCTTATTAATAAGTTTATGTGATTAAGAAATATTTCTCTGACTTTAAATGAATTTCCTAAGATGCCCTGATTTACCAGGTTCTAAAACGAATTATCTGATTTGTCAGATTTTCCCAACTCGTCAAGTTTTTGTCAAGATTTGAACAGCCGAGTACTCGGTATTATTTTTTTCTGAGAACTCAGTAGGAATAAAGTTTGTATCCTGATATTCAGTCAAATATTTTCCGAGACTCAGCAATCGAACATCACTTTTGCTGAGATCTCCGCAAAATATGTAAGGCTGTGCAAATCTTGGCAAACAACATTAAGTGTGCAGGTAGTCTACACCCAACAATACTAAATTAAGCAAACACAATATCGAAATGACACCACAACCCGAGCAGAATCGAATATCTTGATACCTAATCCTGACATAACAGGTTAAATACCACAGAATAATATAAATTAAAAAATGTTCCCACAATTCATTCCAATACCAAATTAAACAAATACAATACCAAAACGATAGCACACATGGCATTTTGCCCGCAATATTTGGTATTATTCTTTGCTATATTACCTCTTGTGTCAGGATTATCAACACCAGGATGATATCAGGAACAGAATTAGCTTTTCATAAGTTATTTTCTTCTGCTCGAAAATACTCAAACTTAGGTATGCTTTTGGTATTGAAATATAAATTTTTGTTAGCTAAAAAATATTTTGTATGCATTTATTTTTTTGGAATTATTTGCAGATATTTTACTTCTTATGTCAGGCTAATCCACACAAAATTTTGGTACCAGGAGCAAAACTAGGTATTCATAAGTTACTTTCTCATTCTCGGGCATCACAGCACTGATTAACAGGCTACGTACCTCGCAGTAGATTTAAATTCTTAATCCGAAAACTGGTATCACTATGAAAGTGAAGCTCACAATGGTTCATCCATCATGTCGAAATGTAAGAAACTTTATAACAAGATGATTGATAAGGTTCAAAGGGAAGAATGTTATATGTTTCACTCATGATGCTGTGAAAACACTCATTATGAGGAGCATCCTACAGATGCATTCTTTTAAACAAGTCTCACGTACATTATTAGCATTTGCAAGGGAACTATAGTATAATCACTTAAATAAACATTATATCCTCATGAAAATCAAAGTTCTTATACAAACAACACTTCTGCTTCCACCCTTGTAAGACCCTTTATCGCAGATGAAAACTATCGCCTCAGCGACCGAAATCGGACAAATATTAATTCTGTCCTTTTCTCCCACCACCTCACCGCAAACTTTATTCCCAGTTGATTCATAATGAAACCCCCACGAGTTCCATTTCACCCCCCACCCAACACCACACACAACCGCCGAACAAGACTCGCTTCAGCTGTACGCTAATTACGGTGCACGTTCGTTGTCCACGCCAACTTTATCGTCGTCATCTTCGTCGCAGACTACTTCGATTCACGTCCCACGAGGAGAGCGAGTCGGAGCGATTCATCTTCATGAAAATCACACTTTCATAAACTTCGATTTAGATTTTCACAACCCTTCGATTTTTCTTCCGTTTTTTTGCCTACAGCCATTCACTATGTGCCACTAGCTGTAGATCGGGTCCAATCCACCGTGAATCGATTCGATTCGATTGTTTTTGTTCCGCGTTCGCACAACAAGCGGGGATCCGGAAATTTGTCGCACAAAAAAGCTCCTCTGGCTGCTCTGTGTGCTCTGGGAATGCTGGGAGCTTTTTTTTGCCGCACTATCGCCCGCTATTATTAGTTGCTGGTGACGTTCACCTCTGTTGGTCGTGTACCTACAACTCACTAGAAAATGCTTTTGTTGATCGCGCTGGAAAAATCGAACACCACACAACCGTTCAGCTATTTCCCTCCAAAACCCAACGGTCGGTAAAACGCGTCCTGTTCGAATCGCGACTCGAGCGAAACTGACGGCCGTTCGATTAAATATGAATGCCAATGTACGACGGGCTGGAGGACATCGATTGGAACGCACACGATGTTGCTTTGGGGCGGCCGGACGTGAGTTTGAGTCGCTTTCCCTCGCTCTGGGTAGGCGAGAAAGAGCAATCGTGTCGTCGGGGGCTGGAAAATGCACTCTGCGAGAAATTTGAAAGAGAAAAAAATCTCTCACCGACTGACCGGTTGGGGTTTTTCCAAGTGAGACGTGAGGAGGCTAGCGGAGTGAGTAAGAATGGGCGAACACTGTGGAGCGCTTGAGAGAGAAAATTGCATCTCAGGTTGAGTTCCGTGGTGAGTATGATTGCATGTTGCAGCTCGATTTTCCATAGATAGTCAAATGTTTCATTCTGTCACACCGACATTTCAAACCTTTCTTTTATGGATTGAAATTATGACATAATAATCTGTGATTGGTTGGTTTCTTCGAGGTTTCTTCAAAGTTGATGATTATATTGCACAGGGTTATTTTCATTAATACTTACATGAAGCTTAAATTGTACACACCAATCTTAAGTCTACACGACATTTTTCTAGTGGGAGGTGCTTGGAATTACTTTGTATTATTTTGTTTTGCCAATCAGCGTCGATTTGGCTATTCGTTAAAAGTGTGCTTTCAAGAAGCGTCACATACACATACGACTTGTACTTCTTGAGGTTGGTTATGGATATTGATGAATAATCACAACATAGAATGTACCCAAGCAACACACATGTTCTATAACAGTTTATTTAACTTTTGTATGACTAGTTTTGGTTGTATAGAAGTTTACTCAACATAATTCTATAGAATCTCGGATAGGTCGGGTGAGTATTGAACTGCATGGAATGTATCGGGTAGTAATTGGAGCTGTTGTTTTCTCTGTTTCGTTTTCAAGTGGTAAAGCACAACGGATGTTATTGAACGAAGTGTCAAAACATGCGTTAGCTATAAAAATAGGAAAAAGATTTGTTATGAATTTCGACTCGGGTGGATGCACTTGATAAATGAGCCACACAAGTGCCCACTTGCAAAACATGGTTTTCTTGTAATTTGATATTCTGACCGAGATCAGCTCTATTATATGCATGGAAACTTCTTTTGAACTTGTGAATGATAAGGGGGGTCTCACGTTCTTTGTGACTTTGTCTTACATTTGATATTTCAAGAGCAAATGTTCATTATGTCGTAAGTAACATTCGCACCGATCCGAGAAAAATAAAGTTTTGTTTTGATGACCGAAAAGTTATTCCTATTTCCAATTAAACACATATAATCTCATAGTGATAGCAATGTTTAACGTATTTAGCCGGGTTTTAATCATACAAAGGCAAATCACTAGCTTTCATGCTAAGAAATACTGGTTTTTGAGTCAAAAGTAATTATTCGTCTTTTGGTGGCCCCTATTGTTACTTAAGTCAAAGTGTATTTACCAGGATATTCGGGAGAATTATCAATTACGTCTCCTTACGTGCAGACCATTCATCATTTTAAGACCACCGAACATCTTAGCAACAAACAGTTCGATTTATTCACTTTAATAATGAGAAAGCGAAACGACGAAAGTACACTTTTCACGGGTTTCTCAGTGCTGTTACTTAAGGCAAACGGCATCTCCATAGAAATCGGGTGACTTAAGTAACATCGAAAACTATTTTGATCGGAAGGTGATTACGTCAAAAAGCAATTCGACTGGTAAATAAATTTAAAAATGGGATGTGATCCTATATTCGGACAGTATATAGGGAGCATCGATTGACACTGATAGCTCGACTTTGTTTACCTTTGTTACATTCGACGTAATGAAAATTTGCTCTTGATTTATTCCAGATAGAGTATACTACACAAGGCACCTCACCATCCCTCTCCAAAGGGGGAGTTTGGTAAAGAGAGATGAAAAAACCGATTTGCACCTTCCTTAAAAGTTGTCCTAGCTCGCTTGTCTAATATCTATATACAATCTTCACACTGCCGTACGCTAACGGAACTATCAACTCTATGCTTTCATCTACTCCATCTATCGTATAAAAATTACCACTACAGTCTGTTATTTGAAATTAGCATCTTCAACTATGAACCAATAATGTTAAATAATCAATCAGCCCGATTCTCTTAATAGATTTTCTCTTTCACGAATAACCCGACTGCAAATGAATTTCCCATTCAGTGTGTTGATTCAGGCGCAAGCTAACTATAGTCGCTATATTTATAGTCTGGCGGATAGAATTTCGATCTTTCAAACAGCGGAACCAATTCAATATATTGCAGACCAACAATTGAAATGGTACTATCAAGTTTTATAAACAAAACTTTGATTATGCTTTCATCATCGGATAGGGAAAATTTGAGTTAGTTTGAGTTAGTAGCGAGGCTTAAGTCACGAGAAAACGGCTTCCAGAAGTTTTGTTCGTAATAGCTGATGTGCCTTTTTCTGTTGTTGGTCGTGAATTGACAGCTCAATTGGTCAAACAGCTATTTGACAGCTCAATTGGTTCCCGAGATTCTATCCGCCAGGCTATGAATATAGCGACTATACAGCTAACATCATCTTATGTTGAACTGTCCTGTGAGCTTAGCGAGAAATTCGTTTATGTTGCCGTGGAAAATCAAAGAGAGAGGCCGAGGATAGGCCCTTTTCAAATGTTCCGCAAGAATACAGAATAAAATTCGAAAAAATGTTTCACCATTGCCTGCGGCACCGGCACCCCCAACAGCTACGCTAACGGTTGATTATGGTATAGTACATTGATTTATCATTTTAATTGATTAGCCTACTTGGCTCTTCATCTTTGTTTAACTTGATATTCTAATTTAATATTTGCGTTTTTCAACTAGTTTACAGAATATCCCATTGGGGATGTGTTTTATTTGAATTGAAAAAAAGTGATAACCTACCTAACTACGAGTATAACTTAACCTAACGTGCTAGATCACGTATGATCTGATGATTTGATCTCAGACAGGTGTCTCTGAACCTTTCCAGGATGAATACTCTCCGTTCTTCTAATGTTTGAATTCCAGCCTGGAAGTGGATCTCAGAATTTCTAGTCCGCGGGGGGCTGTTTAGGACCATCCTAAGGATATTGTTCTGGATCCTTTGGAGTTTAAGGTGATGGCATTTTGCGCAACTCTCTCAGATTGGCATACCGTACTCGATTACAGGAAGGATGATTTGCTTGTAGACAACAAGCTTATTTTTCAGGGACAGGGTTGACTTCCTGTTGATAAGTGGATACAACGATCTTATCAAGATGTTGCACTTGGTTTTTGTTTTGTCAACGTGCTCCCTGAAAAGAAGCTTGCTGTCTAGTGTTAGCCCGAGGTACACGACCTCTTTGGACCATTCCACCACTGTGCCGTTCAGGCAGATCTTGTTATTCTCCGACGGAACAAGTCTAGGAGATTTAGAGTGTGGAAAGATAATGACCTGGGTCTTTGCCGCGTTGATACGGATCTTCCAGCTGTTGAAATATTCAGACAGGACGTCCAGGCCAAGTTTGGCAGTCAGAGCTCCGATGAACCTACCCTTGTAGACGATGGATGCGTCATCTGCGAACAGAGACAACGATCCACCATCAGGGAGAGCCGGCATATCGGAGGTGAACAGGTTGAATAGGATGGGGCCAAGAATGTTCCTTGTGGAACACCGGCACCGATGTTGAAAGCATCCGATGAGATGCCATTCAGAGAGACTCGGAACGTCCTGTCTGATAGATAGTTGTTTATTATCTTCACTAGGAAGATTGGAAGACCGTATTGCTGCAATTTGAACACCAGGCCATCATGCCAGACATTGTCGAATGCTTTTTCAACGTCCAACAACGCCATGGCAGATGTATTCGAAACAGACTTGTTCCGTCTGAGAATGTTTGTTACTCGAGTCAGCTGGTGGACGGTCGAACGACCTTTCCGAAAACCAAACTGTTCCTCCAGTAACAAGTTGTTTTCTTCAGCACATGTTAGGAGTCGGTCATAGACTGCTCTTTCGAACAGTTATGATAACCCTGAGAAAAGGCTAATTGGTCGATAACTTGAAGGAGAGGACGGATCCTTCCCAGGTTTCCGGATGGGTATGACTTTAGCTAACTTTCAACACGAGGGGAAGTAGCCAAGTCTGAGGCACTGATTAAAAATCAGTGCCAGATGGTTGTAGAATCTGGAACTCAAGTGTTTGAGTTCCAGATTCAGGATGTTGTCGAAACCTGGGGCCTTCATGTTTTTAGATGATTTGATATAGACCAACAGTTCGTCAGCCGTAATCTCGGATTCCTCTGGAAAAATGTTAGGAATCTGAAGAAGATTGATTGCATTTTCAGTAACCTCAGATTCATGAGGGCTGACGATGTTTTGTCCGAGATTATGGGAGCTGACGAAGTGTTGACCTATCGCGGCAGCCTTCTCTTCAGGTGTTATCAGATGAACCACTGGGTCGCCGGGACGATCCAGTGGGGTCAGTGGGGGAATGGGTCTAGGCTTGTTTTTAAGAATTTTTGTAATGAAGTAATGAAATTGGGTTGTTAGCGGAATGCTAAATAAAACAGCAAAAAAGGTTATCTTCCATTTAATTCCACTTAATTAATTTTGGTATCCATGACAGATACGTATTTCGACTACAATGTGCAGTCTTCATCAGTGTCATTCCCACTAAAGAACTTATCAAAATCTAACCCCCTTAAGTACTCATCCCCTAGGTAAAAAAGTCAAGATCATAGGTATAAAAATGAAACTACAATGTGTTGAATCGGAACCTACCTAACTAATAAAAACCAAAGATTTAAGTAAGCTAAAGGAGAAAAATCTATACAACTCTCTAATAAGGAAAATCCCCAAAGGCTTGGTAGCCATCATAATGAAGTAATGAAATTGGGTTGTTAGCGGTTAGTTTAGTTTTTTTTTTTTTTTTTTTTTAATTTTTGTAAGTTTCCAGAAGGGCTTAGCACAATCTGGGAGAGAGCGGATTTTACTAG